AGACTGGAGTGCAGTGGTGCAGTCATAGCTCACTGCAGCCTTCAGCTCCTGAACTCAAGCGGTCCTCCCACCTCAGCCTCCCAAGTAGCTGGGACTACAGGTGTATGCCACCATGCCTGGTTAGTTTTTTTGTTTTTCTTTTTGAGACAGATTCTCGCTCTGCTGCCCAGGCTTGAAGGCAGTGGCGGGATCTCGGCTCACTGCACCCTCCACCTCCTGGGTTCAAGTGATCCTTCCACCTCAGCTTCCTGAGTAGCTGGAATGACCGGCACGCACCACTACTCCCAGGTAATTTTTGTATTTTTAGTAGAGACAGTGTTTTACCATGTTGGCCAGTCTGGTCTTAAACTCCTGACCTCAAATGATCCACCTTCCTCGGCCTCCCAAAGTGCTGGGATTACAGGCATGAGCCACCGAACCCGGCCCTGGCTAGTTTTTCTGTTTGTTGGTTTTGTAGAGATGGGGTCTTGCTATGTTACCCAGGCTGTTCTCAAACTTCTGGGCTCAAGCAATCCTCCCACCTTGACCTCCCAAAGTGCTAGGATTATAGGCATAAGCGACCACACCCGACCCAAAATCTAGACTCTTAATCATTGTGCAAACTGGTCTCCCAAATTATTAGGCCTCTTGGAAGACAAGAGAGTTTTCATTACTCTGGTAAGAATAACCGTTCTAGAATAATCTCCCTGGTATTTGTGATAGCATTTATTTTATAAAACACATTTGATAACAAGAAAAACATGGGTCTATTTCTGTTAAACACAGGCGAGCAAAAGTCATACGTAAAAACATAGCTAGACAGAACACCTAGGGCTTTCACAAGTATCTACTTTAATTAATGTCAGTAAACAACATAACCCAATGCAGTGACGCACTTGCAAGGATTACATCTCAATCCAACTAGATCATAGTTTCCCAGTCAACACAACTTAAGATTCTCTGAAAACAAAACAGTGTATATATTATGAAAAACAAGAAAACACAGTTGGGCTCAGTGGCTCATGCCTGTAATCCCAGCACTTTGGGAGGCTAAGGTGGGCAGATTGCTTGAGTCCAGGAGGTTGAGACCAGTCTGAGCAGGGAAATCCAGTCTCTACAAAATACAAAAAAATTAGCTGGGTGTGGTGGTGCCTGGTCTATAGTCTCAGCTCCTCCAGAGAGTCTGAGATGGGAGGATCACTTGAGCCTGGGGAGGTCGAGACTGCAGTGAGCCACGATTGCATCACCGTACTCCAGCCTGGGTGACAGAGTGAGATCCTGTCTCAAAAAAATAGAAAAATCAAAATAAGAAACCCCTTTTCATAGCGATGAAGCAATCAGCTAACTGCTAAAGAATCTTCACAGGCACGGCCGGGTACAGTGGATCACGCCTGTAATCCCAGCACATTGGGAGGCCACGGCAGGACGATTGCTTGAGGTCAGGAGTTTGAAACCAGCCTGGTCAATCTAGCAAGACTTCCTCTCTACAGAAACAAAAAAAATTAGCCAGGCACCCTCGTGCTCAGTGCCTGTAGTCCCAGCACTTTCAAAGGCTGAAACGGGAGGATCCTTTGAGCCCTGGAAGGTCGAGGCTTCAGTGAGTTGTGATTGCGCCACTGCACGCCAGCCTGGGTGAAAGAGCAAGACCCTGTCTCAAAAAAAAAAAGAATCTTCACAAGCATCCCTTCCTCCCAAGGCTCCTCCCTTGTCTCGTCTGAAGGTTTGCTCCCCAGAACTATGAGAACCCTCTACATCTCTCTTTCTCAGCCCAGCCAGGATGCGGGACTCTCTGGGCTGGAGTCCTACATCCCAGGCCTCAGCTACAAGGTGAGTCCAGTCTAAGGACCAGCTCCTCTCATTGTCTATTTCATTTATTTATTAAAAGTGTAGACGTGAAGTGTCTACTTCGTCCTCTCTTGCTTAAAGTGGGTATGTCTGGAAGGGTCTACAGCCACAGAGGGGATTTTCATCTGAGAGTTACGAGGTCTCTTTGAGAGACTCTGCATTCCATTGAATAGGCATGGCTCAGATCTCTCCGGACAATCTGTACTTACCTTGCGAATTAAAAGATTCCACAGGGTTGAGATGCTGTAAAGATGAGAAAGTTCCAGGAGTTCTGATATACTTAGGAGTCCCTGCAGTTTGGCTGAGGACAGTGGTAATCCTCAAAGGCTAGAAATGGCTCTCAAATCTGAGCTCTCTGCAGAAAAACAAGCCCAGGAAAAAGACTGCTTTGGTATTTCTGAGAATGAAACTAGAAGGTTGCCGCCTTTTTTAAGTTTCCATTTCTCAGAATGCTCCTACTCACTTTAGGCCTGCCTTTCTAGCTTCAAGGGGGGAAAAAAAGTGCTATTTCCTGCTTATCAGTAGAGTAAGTGGGTCAAAGACTAGTTCTGGCTAAAGACTAAAGAAACTTTATCAGAAGAAATCCTTCAAACACTCTGGAGAACAATGCTACAAAAAAGTTTTTTTTGGATACACACCAAACTGTTATTAAGGATTACTCTCTCAGGAGTGGAACTGGAGAGGAAGAAGATGGAAAGGGAGGAGAGAATTGTTACCTCGTACAGTAGGCCTGAGTTACTCAAGAAATATTTTTCTGTTGGCAAGGAAAAGGGAAAAAACAAAATGAAAAGAAACAGTGAAAGAGCCAGAAAGGAAATTAAACGGTGCATCTCACTGACTTTCTCTTCTAATTTTTATAGTAGCCTACATAATCCTAATAGTTGTAACTGCAGCCGAGATGAAATTCCTGCTGGATTCACTGTTATTAATTTAGCTGCCAATACTGTTGCTATCGTTCTAATCAAGTTCCTGCTAATTTTTGACCTGCTGTCTCCCTCAACAGCCCACAGGAGTCACAATTCCCTTGAGCTCTTGTTGGTTTCTTGTTCCATTTCTTTTGGGTGTCTATCTTTATACATTGAAAAAATTATTACAGTGTGGATTTAGCAATCATTTTTAGCTATAAGAAAAGGTGCTGTGCACTAGAGGTAATTGAATTAGAGATGTCATTCATTAATCAGATAATTAGTTCCCAATCTTGGCTGCTTGTCCAAATCCTTTGGCATGCTTTTTAAAAATTCAGATGCTAAGGTCCTTCCCCAGACATTCTGAATTAGACTATCAAGTAGTGGTGCAATATCATCAGGAGGTAGAGAAATATCACATATACACAACACACATACATAGGCATAAACAAAGAGACAGGCACAAACAGATCTTAAAATTTTCATTTAAAATCTTAGCCATGAATTAGGTATACATAAACACAAAATTTAATACTTTTGGTAAAAGTTGATTCTCATTTTTGCCTATTAATATTTTCTTTCGATCTCATCTTTCCATAGACATTTGTTTAGGATGACAGCTTTCTTTAAAAACAAAATCCTTTTAGATATAAAAGTTCAAATCTTCAAAGCTGTACCTATCTTAATTATGACTCAAAACCAGTAAGTTTTTATAGCTTAAAATCAATAAGGCTTTTATCACTTAACCACGGATGCAAGAGGCATCCCCAAGGAGGATGCAAGCCATGCAGCCGTTTTGCTGGGCGCGGTGGCTCAGGCCTGTAATCCCAGTATTTTGGGAGGCTGCAGTGGGCGGATCATTTGAGGTCAGGAGTTCGAGACCAGCCTGGCTAATATGGTGAAACCCCGTCTCTACAAAAAATACAAAAATTAGCCAGGTGTGGTGGCGCATGTCTGAAATTCCAGATACTCGGGAGACTGAGGCAGGAGAATCACTTGAGCCTGTTGAGGTGGAGGTTATAGTGACTGAGATCACACCACTGCACTCCAGTGTGGGCAACAGAGTGAAACCGTGTCTCAAAAAAAAAAAAAAAGACAATGAAAGTTCAGATGACAAACGCCTCTTATGGACTGGGACCTTTATTAAGACAAACTTCTCTGAGAGCTGGCACAGTCGGACGAAAATGCTGCTTATCTTAGAACTTGGGTTCCAGGCTGGCCCCCTGATGCAAACCAGCAACAGTTGCGCCCCCTGGCGGCGAAGACCAGAGAGACTATTTTAAAACCAGGCTCTCGGGACATAAAACGAAAGAATCTCATCTTACGATTTTCTTCCTTGTGACAAACAACACAAACGACATCGGCAATGCACACAAGGACTTTTTATTATTCCTGGGAGGCTGTGGATCATACCCAGACCAAATTTAAAAAAGTGACAATTCAAAGAACTCATTCTTACAAATGTTTTTCTCCTGCCGATCTGAATTTGGAAAGGAAAAGACAAGGAAAATGTTTAACGTTCTCCTCTCCACAGGGCACTTCAGGTAGATATGTGGGGGAGCTGACTTTGGTAAGAATTTTTACCTTTTGCAGGTTCTGTCAGCTCTTTCGGGATCCCACCCACAGGCTCTGAAGTGAGTGGCGCATCCCAGCCTTCTAGGGTCCCATTTTCACTACCAGAAACTATAGGGGAGGCAAAACTTTACTTCTGTTCTCTTAGGGATTTTGGCTAGGCCTGAGGATTAAATTGGCCTATGACAGATTAAAAAGAGAAAAACATACAGATTTTTACATATAGAAGCCCCTATAGAAAATTGAAGAAGTGCCGAAACCTAAATGCTTATGTAGTAGGATGAGCAAAGAGTGCAATTGTAGAAAAGTAATTACATTAAATTATGTGTGGAGGCAAAGGAGATAAGGGTTATTTTAGCAAGGTCTGTTTGTAGAGGATTATCCTGGTTATGACCCCTGTCAAAGAATGCTTTTTCTTCTCCTGGTACAGGGACGGCATCTTTCACATGGGACTTTTATCTCCTGTTTTCAGGAAGAAAAAAAAGATTAAGATTCCCTTTTTGCATCTTCTATTTTCTTTTTATTGTTATTATTATTTCAACAGTTTTGGGAGAACAAGTGGTGTTTGGTTACATGGATAATTCTTCAGTAGTAATTGCTGAGATTTTGGTGCACCCATCACCTGAGCAGTGTACACTGCACCCAATGTGTAGCCTTTTATCCCTCACCCTTCTCCCACTCTTCCCCTGAGTCCTCAAAGTCCATTAGATTATTTTTATGCCTTTGCGTCCTCATATGCATCTGCTACTTTCAGGTGCCTTTAGCTCAAAATAATCCTTATGCCAAAATGGCATATTTGGGGACAACCGATTCTGCCACCCTTCGGTACCTTTAGCCAAACAGAGGTTTGCTTTACAGACCTCCTGATTTCTGTGCCTGGCAACTGCACAAGGAGGGCACACCCACGTACCATCTTCCCACAATGACCCATGGGGAAGCAAGGAAAGAAGGTTGCTTCTGTCCTAATTGTGTTGCTCTGTTGCGCAGTTCCCTAAAATGTCTGCCCCCACCCCACCCCACCCTACCCCATATTTTATGGAGTTAGGTGAAGAGCTTTCTCCTCCTTTACTTGCCCATCATCTTCTTCCCTGTAGGCACGAGTTCCGGCTGCTCATGAAACCAGTTGGAACGTAAGGGGCACTACTGCACTGATAATCTTGGCTCCTTACTCAAAGGCACTGAGAACCACCTCTCCCTAGGCTGCAATGTGGGAAATGCCTCACATACTATATGGGAGACTGCAGAGAAGAAAGGGGTCACTGGAACAATCAACCCAAACAGGATATAAAATGGAATGTATGCCATGATTACAACTCTGCTAAAATATATCTGCCACTAGACTAGCCCAGGAAATGAACAAGCAAAAGTGAAAGCAGTTGCATGATTCGGCGGTAATAACAGGGATTGAATTTTATTTTGTGGTTCTCTATTTTCTAATCTTTCTATAATGTAATTATCTAGAACTTGTAATGACAGATATATCTTTTATGTTTCTTAGTATACAAAATGCTATCCTCTGAACATTTTCCTATTATGTAAGTCATTTACGTAATCATATTGATTTTGCAGAAAAATTTAGAGGCTAAGAATGCCATCAGTATTCTAAGTGTATTTGATCCACGTCTCAACATAAAATCAAATGAATTACTGTCAACACAGAAGGAGACTTATGCCTTTAACTCTGATGTACAAACAGAAGAACATAGAAGCTAACATGGACTTTGGAGTCGGACAGACACGGGTTCAGATCTCAGACTCAGAACTTGCTAGTGCTGTGATCTTGGGTAAGGTATTTATGATTTATTTGTTTATTTATTTACTTATTTATTTATTTTTAGAGCTAGAGTCTTGTGGTGTTCTCCAGGTTGGAGTGCAGTAGTATGATCATGGCTCACTGTAACCTTGAACTCTCGGGCTTAGACAATCCTTCCACCTCAGTCTCCCATGTAGCTGGACTACAGGAGCGTGCCACCACACCCTGCTAATTTAAAAAAATTTTTTATAGAGATAGGGTCTCTCTATATTGCCCAGGCTGGTCTCAAACTCCTGGCCTCAAGCAATCCTCCAGCTTTGGCCTCCTAAGGTGCTGAGATCACAGGTGTGAGCCATCGAAACTGGCCCTAAGTATTTATCTTTTAAGTCAGAGTCTCCTCAGCTGTAAATTGGAACTATTAAGATCTAAAATTTATTGGGAGCTTTCCACATACTATGCTTTATTTAAATATCTTATTTATTTGTTTGTTTGTTTGTTTTTTGAGACGGAGTCTCACTCTGTCGTCCAGGCTGGAATGCAGTAGCATGATCTTGGCTCACTGCAACCTCTGCCTCCCAGGCTCAAGTGATTCTTCTGCCTCAGCCTCTCAAGTAGCTGGGATTACAGGTGCGTGCCACCACACCCAGCTAATTGTTTTGTATTTTTAGTAGACACAGAGTTTCACCATGATGACCAGGCTGGTCTTGAACTCTCGACCTCAAGTGATCTTCTCGCCTCAGCCTCTCAAAGTGCTGGAATTTCAGGCATGAGCCACCGTGCCCAGCCAAGGTCATATTTATTTATTATTTTTACTTTTTCAGACAGTATCATGCTCTGTCCCCCAGGCTACAGTGTAGCGGCTTTCTGTAACCTCAACCTCCTGGTTGATCAAGTGGTCCTCCCACCTCAGCCCCCAAAGTAGCTGAGACTACTGGCACGCATCACCATGCCTGACAAATTCTGGGGGCTTGTTCGTTTGTTTTGTGGAGATGGGGTTTCACCATGTTACCCAGGCTGGTCTCAAACTCTTAGGCTGACGTGATCCACCTGCCTCGGCTTCTCAAAATACTGGGATTACAGGTGTCAGCCACCATGGTCAGCCTAAATGTAGTATTAGCTTTCAATCTTCATCTTTACCTTAAGACATAGGTATGAATTTTACCTCTGTTTTATAGATGAGAAAACTAAATCTTAAAGAGGTAAAGTAACTTGCTCAAGATCATCCAGCCAATTAAGAATAGAATTGGAATTCCAGGCCAGAGTTGACCTGACCCCTGGACTCAAGCTCTTAACACTTACACTGTCTTATCCTACCTTACTGCTATACATAATTCAAAGACTGGTTGGGGGGTTAAAAGATATATTTTTAAAACAATTTGCACCATGTCTAGCACATACTAAGCACTTAATATATGTTTGTTGTAACTGTATGTATCAGAGGAGACATCAATGGGACTGTAAAGGTATTTTGAGGTATTAGCCTTTGGTTGGTGGGGTTTGTCATATTTGGCTGGCTAGGAAGGAAGCACCCGCTTCCTTCATTGTCTCCCCCTCTACCACACGCCTCTTTCAAGCTGTACAACTGGGCAAAGACAGCCTTCCCTGATGAAAGCAGGGATGAGGGACTTTATCTGCAATTGGTCCAAGAGAACTCTGAAGTAGTAAACAATAACAAGAGAAAATACACAGTGGCTATGTCTTAATTTCTCATTATTCACACCTATTTTAAATTGAGAATGAAAGAAGGAACAAAAGTGAAAACTGATCCCATTTCTTTCAAAATCACATTTGCCTTCTGTTAACTGAAGATATTGAATGGAGCAGCAAAGGGCCCTCCTTCCCTTTGTGAATGAGGTAGATTCAGAGAGAAAACACTGTCCCTGGAACTTTCTAAATGCCCATTTCCTTTGATAATCAGCAATATCTGCTCTGACGCTGTACCTATATTTGCCTGGGATTTTAAGGGAAGGAAGGTGGGGACATCGTAATTCTACATCACCAGGAAATGGCTGCAAGGTTGCAATGGGAGAAGGTAAGATGCAGCAGCCTTGGAGGGGATCTAGCAGTTCCTGTCAGGAGGGTCTGACCTTGGATGGATCAGGAATATGAGCAGAGTCTGATACTGAGCTTTGCAGATCAAGAAATTCCGATTTTTCCAGAATGATCAAGAGGCTCTGTGACGACTGCAGATATTAACTGTAGGAAACAGAATAGGCTAGTCAGCTGTGTGCTTACAATAAAGGCTAACACTTTCCAGAGACAAGAGCTTGACAGAGGACCCTGATGGAAAACATAAGTATTCTTGTTCACTCTGAATATTCCAGCATACACTGGAGAGTATTTTCAGAGTATTTATAACTTCTCAGAGTTTGGATTATGAGAATAAGGATTCTATTTAAATGTCACATTTAACAAGCTTGGCCACTTACTTGATATGTGACTTTGAGAAAGTGAAATTCTCTGTGCTTCAGCTGTATCATTTACGAAGTAGAGATAATGTGTAGATATTTCATAGAGGAGTTGTGAGAATGTATGCAAAGCATTTAGCAAATTGTAGCTGATTATAGTAAGATTTCAATAAATAGTAGCATGCAGTTATTATAAACTTTGTATTTATTTCAGATTGAAGCTTCTTGAAAATAATTTTATGTTCAGCTTGCCCAAAACCTTGGGGAAACGGAGGCAAGTCAGCTTCACAGAAGATCGAGTTGACCTCTGCAGTTTCTCCTCTTTTCTCAAATGAGTTTCTCCATGTCAGAGTTTCTCCTTTTAAAAGTCCTGTTTAGGCTGGGCACGGTGGCTCACGCCTGTAATCCCAGCACTTTGGGAGGCTGAGGCAAGTGGATTGCTTGAGCTCAGGAGTTTGAGACCAGCCTGGGCAAGATGGCAAAATCCTGTCTCTACAAAAAGTGCCAAAATTATCCAGGCGTGGTGGCGCACACCTGTAATCCCAGCTACTCAGAAGCTGAGGTGGGAGGATCGCCTGATCCTGGGAAGTGGAGGCTGCAGTGAGCTGTGATTGCGCTACTGCACCCCAATGTGAGCAAAAAGAATGAGACCCTGTCTCAAAAAAATTTTTTAATTAAAAAAATATTAAAAGGTTCTGGTCATGGTCAGAGGCATCTTTTCTTTTCTCTTTGTACCCTATGTCAGTTTTAAGTGACCACAGAATTTTTTTTAATACAGTGTCGAGGTTATATAATTCATGTTTCTACCCATAGTTCTCCAAGTTAAGTTCTTCCTCTGCAGCTCCGGGTTAGGGTGGTGAGCCTTAGTTTCACTCTCTGTGCTCCCTTGCAGCCCTTTTAGAGTCACCTGTTTCCAAGATATCATTGCTCTTTTTTGTCATCGGAACCTGATGTCAGCATTTTGTTCTCTTAGTTAATGCAGCAAAATGTATATGTTATCAGATGCAGTGATTGGGGTTTTCTATTCACTTCCCATCAGAACTAATCTGAATAAGGTGATTCTTTCATCCAGGTCACCTTTTCGTCCAGTAAACCCATCTCCAGGGATTTATAACTATACCAGAAAAAGAAAAGGTTATATGCCTGAGTATGTGCCTGGCTTAATTTTAATTGGTGTAAAATTGCTAGTGACACAAATAACAAGGGAATGATCATTGAAATTTCATATGATCTGGCTAGGATATGGTGCACCCATTAAAAATGATTATATTGAAGACTGCTACAACATAAGGAAATGCCTGCATTAGTCGGCTACAGCTACAAAACAAACAACCTTGAAATCTCAGTCATTAAATAATAAGCTTTTATTTCTCATTCATGCACTTTCAGATCAGCTGGATTTTGGTGGAGCTAGTTAGGACTGGTGGAACTTGGCTCCAGGCCATGAGTTGAGTTGGAGTTGGATTCACATATCTCAGTGGCTGGAGCACCACCCAGGGTACATTCTTTGTATGGAAATAGCAGAAACCCGAGAGAGTAAATCCAATGCTGAAAGTCCAGGTGCAGCCTCAGTGCACATCACAACTACTAACATTCCAAGTCACATGACCAAGGCCATATTATAGGGCTGGAAAATATCTCTACCTCTGACATTAGTAACTACAAAGGGTATAGATATAGACAGGTATGAAATATTGGGAACAATAATGTAGTCTATAGCAATATCTCACACAACAATTAAATGGAAAAAGCACACATATAGGATATAAGGCACTTGATCATAACTATGTGAAAATATTTTTCCATATCAACAAAGAATAGAAATAAAAAAGCAAAAATGAAAAAAAAGTTACGCCCAGATAATAAGATGATTTAAGAACTTTTTTTTTTTTTGAGACAGAGTTTCACCCTTTGTTGCCCAGGCTGAAGTGCAGTGGTGCGATCTCAGCTCACCGCAACCTCCGCCTCCCAGGTTCAAGCAATCTCCTGCCTCAGCCTCCGGAGTAGCTGGGATTACAGGCATGCGCCACCATGCCCAGCTAATTTTGTATTTTTAGTGAAGACAGGGTTTCTCCATGTTGGTCAGGCTGGTCTCGAACTCCTGACCTCAGGTGATCCACCTGCCTCAGCCTCCCAAAGTGCTAGGATTACCAGCGTGAGCCACTGCACCCAGCCTGATTTAAGAACTTTTAATTTTGCTTTTCTCCATTTCCATAATAATATTATATTACCCTTTTTAAGAGTAGGTTTTAGAAACTTCTCACAGCTTCTAAAGCTTCTCTTTTATCTTAGTTATTTCATTTAGTTAATTGCTTTATCCATCTATATTAAGACTTTGTAGAAAACATTGAGTATTCTATGTACAACCCAGTTAGTCAATTATTCTTAGTCCCCACCAGTTCCTAATCTTACATTTGAATCTAACGAACTATCATCATAGATCCTTAATTTGACCTGTTGCCTAAAAACAATTGAGTTGCCTTTATTGTTCCCTTATTCTTCATTATTACAGCATTAAAGATTATTCTCCACACTGACTTCTTTGAAATCTCTAACATTAGAAATTCATACTATTGAATAAAATCATTGTAAATTCTAGTTTTCTAAAAGCTACAAGTACAGT